AGGCTGACAGGTAAGGGACTATACCATGCAGGGACATCCATGCATACACTCTTCCATCCAGGACTCCCAGATTCACCTTTCTATAATAGCTGAAATCATTCCACTACTTCCTCTTTTTTTTTTTTTTAATTTTTTTTTCAACGTTTATTTATTTTTGGGACAGAGAGAGACAGAGCATGAACGGGGGAGGGGCAGAGAGAGAGGAAGACACAGAATCGGAAACAGGCTCCAGGCTCTGAGCCATCAGCCCAGAGCCCGACGCGGGGCTCGAACTCCCGGACCCCGAGATCGTGACCTGGCTGAAGTCGGACGCTTAACCGACTGCGCCACCCAGGCGCCCCTCCACTACTTCCTCTTTGAAAAGCTTTCAGCCTCTCCTCCCCCGGCCCCCACCACCACCCCGATCTACACAGTGAAGTTTGATCACTTCAGTATGGCACCTCAATCCTGGAGGCACATTAGAAGCACTGGGCATGTTTAAAAATGTGAGTGCTTAGGTCCCACTCTAAACTAATCCAATCAGACTGGACATTGATATTCATATCCAGCTTATAGTGGATTCTAATATACAGCCAAGGTTGAGAAACATTGATTTGGTCTGTGCAGTCCAACAGAATTAAAATATAAGCCACATATATTCTAGTGGCTACATATAAACAAGCTAAAACAAAACAAAACAAACCAGATAAAGTTAATTTTAACAATATATTTGTTTAACCCTGTATGTCCAAGGTATCCCCATTGCAATATGTAGTCAATACAAAAATTAAAAAATATGTCAAATTCCTTTTTACATCCTATGTCCAGTTCTATTTTCCACTTAGAGTATATCTTGATTCTGATGGCAAATGTTCCTCAGAAATACTTGACTTATATTTGCTGTTTATAAAGTTTATGGTTAAAAAGGTAGATTGCCAAACCCACTTGGTTCATCACATACTTAAAAGTTTTTTTTTAATAACTGAATTCAGTTTCATTTTTTAAAAACATTAGTTATAAACTAATTAAACTTGAATGAAATTGGCAGCTAAGTTCCTTAGTCACATTAGCTGTATTTTATGTGCTCCGCAGACATATGTGGCTAGTGACTACCTTCTTGGACAGGGAAGCTCTAGTCTATAAGTCCAGCTTACTTACTTTCTAGCCTGACATAGTCCTGGTAGAAAATTTGGTTTTGTAGTCAGACATTAATGGGCTTCAATTGCAGCTATGTGCTGTGGGATTATAGATTGATTAATGTCTGCTATCCTCATTTCCACATCTATAAAGGAAGAATAGTATTGTTACCACATTATCATTAGAATTAAATATGAAAACATAGATAAAATACCGAGAACAGTACCTGCTGTAAGATAATCCTTCAGCTCAGTTGAATCTTTATATTAAAATAATAATAAAAAAGGCAAAGGCTTTAATAACCTTTGGTTATGTTTACCTTTTCCTCTAAATTAGTTTCATCCTTATCCTATTTTTCCTTCTTTTTCTCCTCTATATCTCCAAATATATATATATTTGAAGATATTTTACTTTTGTTGCTGTTTTGAATATAATTTCCCACCAGATTGTGTATTCTTTATCTGAGTGGTAATTCTCTGGTAGTAGCCCACAGGCCAAATCTCACCCACAACACTGTTTTATTTTTTTCCAATGCAGTGTTGGTCTGTATAGTATTTAAAAATTGGTTGTTGGCATGTAAGAATCAATTAGACTTGTTCAGAACAATTACATTTGCAGCTTCTCATGAAAAAAAAAGAAAAGAAAAGAAAAGAAAAAAGAAAAGAAAAGAAAAGAAAAGAAAAGAAAAGAAAAGAAAAGAAAAGAAAAAAACCTGTGGACAACACAAGGCTGGCATTTCCACCTGATGATAGATAATCTTCAGTGTCAAGTGGAAGCTTTCCCCTTTAGCCAACATGTATTCCTCAGGTATCCAGTTTCTGCTGTGCTCTCTTGTGTTTCTGACTCTGAAGCTGAATGTCAGTTACTGTTTATCATCACTCTTGTACTTGCAATTTTATTATAACTGTTACCATGATCTCTGTGGCCAAAAGTATGCTAATGAATTTATGACTTCTGATCTCTTTCAATGTTACATCTGCTCTCTTTAATGCCACACACTTCCTGGCCCTCCAAAAGCAGCTAGGGTCATTATTATACACAGACGTTAGGTCATTTTCTTCCGATTCCCAATGCTTACTATATAGACTTTTGGAGGTAGGACCTGAGTGCTGTGTTTGAAACAAGATATGTGGGTATCCTGAAATGTGTGTCTTTTGCCCTACAAATGTGTGTAGGCGAAAAGCTTCCACTTTCAGGAAAACCCTACACCAAGTGATCTTCAAGCTTAAAGTGCAAGCTCTGTTCTCATCAGTTCTAAACGAGATTTTTTTGGAGAATGGCAGTAACATAGTGAATGAGCTACTTGAAGCAGAGCCCACTGCTGGTTTCTTTAGATTAGTCAACATTTTTGTGACAGTGTGATTATATCTAGGATCCTAGTAAAGCCCTCAGGAAGCAGAAGAACAGATATCACTTTTTAATCTTTATCATTGGCATGAGACCACCCAAGTAGGAGTTTATATGTTGTTTCGTTCTTAAGGGTCTCTTCAAGGACTTCTGGAAGAATTTCAAATAATGTCCATAGCTCCACTTAAGAACTTTGAAATATGACTTTATCTTCTATAATCGAGAGTTGCATTCAGACAGGGGTTGGGGGACGTTTTCAGGGGATATGAATTACTACTAAGAAATTATTTTGTATTTTCAAGTTTTGGGCATTATAATTATTATTATTATTATTGGTATAAATACCTTCAGGGGTCATCAGGTTCACATTTTTCATTTAATGTTTTAGAAAATGAGGTCTAAGGAATGTTCACTGGCTGAGTCTGGTTTACCTAGCTAGATAGTAATAAAATCTCTATTTGAATTCAAATATCCTCTCTGTAAAGTCCTGGAGGTACTTAGGTCTCTATTAGCATTTACTTTAGATGCAGAATTATGTTAGGATCACAGATAATTCTGCTTGCTTTTTCAAAAATGGTAAATGTTAGAAGTTACTTGGAAAGTCTATGGTAATGGTATAGATCATCTTGTGCCCCTTTTTGTTTTGCGTGTGTGTATATGCGTGTGTGTGTGTGTGTTTTAAGTACTTTTACTTTAGAAAAAAAATCAAAATCAAACTATATTTATTGTTTTTTTCTTTCCTGACTATAATGCGTCGTCATTTAAATTTGACTTAAATAATTCAGTAAGATATAGAGAAGAATATACAAATCATTCAAAATCTTATATCCAAAAATTATCAATATTAATTGGTACATATTGTCCCAGACATCTTGTTATTCATACCTGTAAAATTTTACATAAAAGGCATCATGTATTTATATTTTAAACTTTTTTTTTTTTTGCCCTCTCAGTTATAAGAACTTAACCATCATGCCCATGAATACACAGCAATATGCTGGTATAATAATGTCATAAGCTTAATATACTATAACTTATTTTACTAATATGACATTTCAGTTGTTTCTAATTTTTTATGAGACACATTAAAATGAAAATCCTTGTTCACATACTTTTGATCAGCTCTCAAATTGTTTTCTTAAAAATAAATCCCTAGTATTAGACCTAATCAATCTGAGGGTATGCATACACATTATATATTTTGAAACACATTGTGAAAATTCTTTCCACAGAATTATCAACAGTCTGTTTTGTGTCAATTGACCTGTGTCTTCACCAAAAATGTTTTTATCATGTTTTTACTCTTTGCCAATCTAAGTGAAAAAATGTATCCCTTTGGTTTCATGTGTTTTGCTATTGTTTCTTTTCTAAATTTCTTTTGCCAACTTCTGTAGGCAGATTTTTTCTTATGTCTGAGAACTCAATATATTATATCTGTAAAATAATATAAATGTATAAATAGCAAATACATGTAGGAAGTCATCATATTTATTAACTTTTTCTTTCATGTATTTTTTTTTCCTTAGCAAACGAAATCAAATTTAGCGGGCCCCCTTATTAAAGTAACAGAAGACTCTAAGTTGATCTTATCTATGAGTTAGTCAATAGCATCTATCCCAAGCTGTCTAAGTTCTACAACCAATGAGGCAATGTGATTTGAGGCTTATATTGTCATACTTTCTAGATCTAAATTTCCTAACTTACTAGATGAAAGAATTATATGAAATTATTTGTAAGGACCCTTTCAGGTCTAAAATTCTTTGAATCTCTGTTTGCATTGTATTGGGTTTTTCCATGTTACCATCGAAGCTTTGAAAAATATTACTTGACTTTTTAAATAGCAGGACATGAAAAATTGTAACTCAGCAGTCTAATTTCATCAGTTAAGCAGAGTTGTGTTTCATTTTAGTCTTTGTACCCAAGCCAGCCAGGTCATTTTAATTGTATGGCTTATATTTGCAATCATAGGATGAGCTCCCCAATGAATACATCTCTTTGTTGCATTGTCACTTCCAAGTGTAGGATGCTGAACTGAAATACTTTGTTCTTCCCTGATTTCCCATCTAATAGTACAGACCCTTGGCCTTGTGAATTCTAACAGTCATAAATACAGCAAGGATATCATTTTCTTCATAAAATATAATAAAGAGCTACTAGAATTTTTAAACAGTCTCTTTTGTGCTCCAGTGAGTCAGTAGATACACTATAATCAATGTTTTGGTTTATCTGAAATATTTTGGAAGAGTAGAAGAGAGTAGCTTACCTACTCCAGTGTGTTGGACGCTAGCCCTTTCTCTACTGCATTCTACACTTGGTGCTCGTAGTGTAGACTAGTGATTAGAAGCCTCCAAACCTGATTCACTGCTTCCTAGGTACATGGGCAAGTCATTTAGTAATCTCTCTAAATCTCTTTCCTCATCTCTAAAATCAAGATTACATTAATTCCTTCCTCCTGGACTTGTCAGGGATGATTGAGATGTTCATAATGGCTGACATTTATCCACTGCTCACAACCCTTGCAGACTCAACACTTGGTACTCAGTGAATGTTACTTTATTATCTTCACAACCATCTTCCACAGGTGAAAAAAAATGAAACATATAATTCTGTCACATAATAGTTCCCACTTATAAGGAAGGTGCAGTGGATGCTGTTAGAGTCCTGCTGGACCTTGCTAAATACCTCAGTCACTGATACCTGGGACCTACCCTTCAGCCTGTGCTTCAGGTCCTTACCAAGTTCAGAATGACTAACAGCCACATGAATGTTCCTCTGATTCAGGCAAAAAGAGTTAGTGACTTCTTAAAAACAAACATGTCAAACCTCCAATTGTCAGGAGTCGATCAAACGATTAAAATCCCCTGGTCCTTTGTTGGGTAATTCCTTTTCAGCTGTTGTACATCATGTTTTTCCTTCCTGGGCTCTTTCCCTCTCCACTGGTTGCCTTCTCACAGTTCACATATCTCCTTGGGTAGTGATGCAGGCCAAGGGTGAGTTTGGCTGGTGGATTTTAAAAATTATCTTAATTAGTTATAAAAACTTAAATGTTAAGAATTTCAGATAAAATTGAGATTTCTGGCTTTTCTTGATAAAATGGGTAGATATGGCAGCCCCGGGCTGTTATTCCCACATAAATGCAATTGACTGGTAACCCTCTTAGATGGGTCACATGCTCCTGTCCCACACCCTTTTTTCCATTTACCCAGCTTCATTTTTATTACTTGCTTAGCCCCTGTAGACATATGTGTTTATGGACTCTGCCCTATGAGGATTTGTTGTTTTCCTCTTAACTCCCATTTGCTGGCCTCTTTGTTCTGACCTTTCTCCTTCTTTCTTCACTCTCAGGAGCCAGCTCTGGTGTTTGCACCATTGCTGCTTTTACTGGCTTCTGTCTCTATAGTAACAGGAACATAGCAGGGAAGTGAAAAATTCTGGGTAGTACCAGCAGGGGGTAGGAGACTCCTGAGAAGGGAAGGGAGATTCTCTGCACAAATTGGTGGCAACCTTATCCTATGTTTAAACAGTGTTGATGCCTGCCAGACACACTTTATTGACCACTCCTCCCCTACCCTCATTCCTGTTGGCCAGGAAGTAACTTTCTGCAGATGTTCCTTACAATGTTACTGTTCCTTAGAGCTGAAGGGCTTTAATCCACGTTCATCTCGAAGTCTGCCTAACCACTTCCCGGCCTTGCTTAAGGAGCTTCCTTAAAGTATTGCTTCTGGCAATTTTGATTCTGTAGAACTGGAATGGGACCTGAGAATATGTGGTTTCCAGATCTTTCGAGTGGCTGGTCCAGAGTCTCATAAAAGCTTCACTTTGAAGGTAGGAAGACTGAGACCCAATCAAAGGGCAAAATTCTACTCAATCGTGCTTATGGCCAGGATGCAAGATCTCTTCTCTCTATAAACATTCATCACAAGTACCAGAGACTATTTGTTTTCCAGTTTAATAATGCAATTGAGGTTAGCTTTCATTTAAGCCAAATGTAAAGAGAATTTTAATGTTAGAAGTTTCATATTAAAAAAAAAATTCTAGCTATTTTGGCTTTCCTCGAGAAATGGCAGCACTGCGTTCCCACATGACATGACTTCAGTTAGTAAACATGCAGTCATCTGAGTACTTGAGTCAGTAGTTGGTTCCAAAATAGGACAACCTCAAAGATATGTATAATCAAACTTAAGAATAAAATGAATGGATTTTATTTTCATAGGATTGGAAAGGTTTCTTCCTCCCCCTTTTTCTTTTTATTCCTGTTTTGAATTCTTGAAAAGCTTGTGAATTGTTCAGTTTCTCTTCCTGCTAAAATGACCTGAGTACAGGTTCACGCTGTGAGCAGTAGGACGTTTTCTAATCTTGCTTTGCCACAGTTAGGCGATAGATAGCCATGACTGTTGCATTAAAACAGCTAGGTACGTGAGCATTAAATTCCATGTTTTGTCAGAATTCCACGGAGAATCAAGAAAAGGATATTAATTTTAAGTGAATAAGTACAATTTCATTCACAGTCTGGGGAATATTATAAGATTACAGGTATAGCTAATTTCAAGAATTTTATGAGCTTTTGTAGAATACAAACCCAAGGGTAAAACCACCAAAAAAAAAAAAAAAACCTGCATGAACGTAATTGAACAACAAGTAAGGCACAATAGAGATGCTTAGTGGCACAATTTGTAAGTCTCGCATTATAATTCAGGTTGAATAATGTCTTTAGGATTCAGTGGGATGTATTTTTGCTGCCTTTGCTTTTGGGTTTCTGTATTGTCAAGGGTGGTTCACAAAACAGCTCTGATCATTAGTGGGAGAGCTTTTGTGAAGGGGGTGAGAAGCCTAGAAAGTAAAGTCTTGGAAATCAACTAAATGCCCTTGTGTTTTATTAGCTAGCACTTTTTATAGCTCATAATAAAGTCAGTTCAGAAGGTCACTTCTTGAACATGGCTATGAATATTGTAGTGTATGAGTTCTCAAATTGTTTATGAGCAGACTGGGTAAGGAGTTTTAATAAATACGTGGCCAAGAGAACTATTCCTGAATTGTGGGGGAAAAAAAGTTGAATCGGATTCCTCTCCCCATCCACCTCCTCCCCCCTCACTCCAGGGCTGCATGGTCTATCTTCATTGAACCTGTGGTTATTTTATTCTTGTTTTCCCTTTTGTATTTCATATTTGTAGAAATTGTGGGGTGTTACAGAGCTATTTACATACTTTATTTTGAACTCAGCTGAAAGATTTTGTCACCTTTATATCGTGCCATCTTATGTCTATTTTTTTTTTTAAAGTTTCTCCATGGTGAATACAAGGCTCTTACAGATAAAGTTCTCACCTGAATTCCTTCATTTTTGAGCTCAAAAAATTGAGGTGTAATTATTGGAAACCATAGCAAGTAGGGCTGTGTAGGCAAGGCAATGGGAAAACTTCAGTGAGAGACAGAAGTTAAAAGTAGAAAGCATCTAGGCTTGCTTGCTGGAATAATTTTCTCAGTGTCACATTCCTGACTGACAAGTATTAGATCAAAGGGCTGGGATGCAGGTTAGTAATATTTGCAGGAACAGCATTAAACTTAAAGTCAATAGTATATTGTGCTGAAGCACATATATAATTCACATCTCTTTATACTTGCTATTTTTTGAGAAAGTTCACTTCATGAAATAATGCATTCAGTCCAATAAAACAGAACTAATACACAACACTGCTGATGTACAGGCATTCTGCGTACTTGATTTATACAAGGTGAATAGAATAATGCAGGTTGGCCCATGTTCAATTTTCATCCACTTGAGTTTTATCTTTTAAGCTGTAGATGCGGACATCGTGTTGTCTCTAGTGTTCACATTTCCTAGTTATAAAGTTAATTATGACAAGCTGATTGTTGTCTTCAACACTGATGACTAACCTTTGAAAGATGCTTGCAATTTTACTTGATATTTGTTTTTGTTGAAGGTACAGTTTAAAAAGTGAAAGCCAGCTAGTCAGTTTTAGTTTATTTCATGGTGATTTTTATAGTTTTTATTCCTGTCTTTTATATGAAAATATATTACAGACTTTTCCTTCCTAATACTAAAAAGAGATGACAGTGAAACTTTTAAAATTGCATCATTTGAAAGAAGGTAAGCATAGGAACATAAGTAACTTAACCATATTATTCTGGGTAACATTGATACTCATTATAAGAAACATTTTTGTTTTTAGCAAACACCTAACTGTCATTCAACATTTGTAACTCCATACATTTTTGGGGGTTGGCTATGAGGTTTGGGTTTTTTTTTTTAGACATAATAAATGTGCTACAACATAAAGTTTTTATATCATGTTGTAGAACTTATAGTTTTCTTTGATGATTTTTTCCACTTTAAATAAAACAAAGATTGAAAGAAACAAGAGGAAGATCTCTTGGATGAATCAGTTTTTCATGTGTATTCATTAAGTTCATATGCATGTCTTTCTGAATATACATGTACCTTAACTTTCCTAAATCCTCACAATTATCATGAAAATAGATACTTGCCATTGTCTCAAAGTAGCCCCTTGATAAAATACAATACTGGAGTTGGGTACCATAGGTAGAAGCTTTATGCATCTTGGGAGAAAGTACAGGGAAATGAGGGAAACCTTCTCTGAACTCCATGGGGAAGACTAGAGAAGTTTTTGACCATACCAGGAAATGGGAAAATAATGTTGGCTATTTCTATGTGGTTTCCTATTCCCCAGACCAACCCTCATGCCCCCAAATCAATGACTCTTGCTGCCTCACTCAATCTTGAGGGTTCAGCAGCAAAAACTAGTTCATTCTTTCAGAGGTTCATTTCACTTAGGTATGTTAGAATTAGGTGATGGGGAGGGGATGTGCCTGGGTGGCTCTCGGTTAAGTGTCTGATTCTTGATATCGACTCAGGTCATGATCTCACGGTTTGTGGATTCAAGACCCAAGTCAAGCTGTTAGTGCAGAGCCTGCTTGCAATTCTCTCTTTCCTTCTCTCTGCCTCTCCCCCACTCTTTATCTCTCTGTCTCTCTCTCTCTCTCTCTCAAAATAAATAAATAAACTTAAAAAAAATAATTAGATGATGGGACAATTGATCATCCTGGATGGATACCCTAATATGGAACTTATTCTGACAGTAAGGAAGAAAAACAGTGAAGAGAGAGGCAGGTGTGATATTATTTTCAGAGTTAAATTGTTTTACACCAGTGGTCAAGAAAAATGCATTTGAATTATTATTATTTTCCTCCAGTATTTGTTCCAAAATGCTCTTTAACTGTGTTGATTAATTTCCAAATCCCTTTGAGGCTGAAAGCCAGGGGTTGGTTATTTAATCTACTTCCTTTGATTTGAGGTTGACTACTCTAGTCACATCGTAGGGTCACAGGGACCCTTGCTGCAGCAGGAATTAGTACTCTCTTCTAAGGCTCCAAAATTCCTCCTCAAAAGGGAAAATACTCTTCTAGAGTAAGTTAAAAACCTTTGTGTGGGTGATTTTCTGTTATAAATGAAAGTGCTTTTACATTTCTTGGTTTATGGACCAAGTTATATTTCCTAATGAATATACAACAAACCTACATCCATATTATAATGTTTTAGGATGGGTGGGGCATGTTAAACAATCAGCTTTTCATAGATTGACTTTGCGTTCAAGTGCCTAGCTGTAATTTGAAGTCTAATAGCAATTTAATTTTGTTTTTCATTCTTTCCTTTCCTGAAATGTCACCACAGACTCTACTTTATTTGAAACATATACATGCAGAGATATTACTATGCATAGTAGTTCTTTAATTGCAGCATATTTCATTAGGTTGCACACATTAATTCCACTCTATTGGAAAAAAAAAGAAAACTGGAAGTCACTACATGGTAGTTAACTTCACATGAATTTTCATGAGTAAATATACACACTGGTTTGATGCTATCAGATGAGTGATCCTCAAAATTTCATTATTTGAGGCCTAATATCACCAAATGCATAATTATAGAGTTGGCAATTTAACCATGCTGAAGAATTTGTTTTAATGCATCTGCCTCTTTAAAACTTTAATCTAAATTCAGACTCCTTGCTGGGACACATGGATAATCATATCATCTACCACCATTTTCTATGTTGCATCCACTTCTTCTACTCTTGGTAATATTTTTGCAATCTATGACCTATCAGCCTGGTTATATATGTTCATTTATTCAGTGATCATATATGGAAGGAGCTATTTTTGAGGGCACAGTAGTGAAGGAGACGAAGAGATTGCCATCACAGGGTTTATATTCAAGGGGAGGAAAAGGGGAGATAGAAAGTAAGCAAGCAAATAATGAACTGCTTATAGGATAGTTTTAAAAAGTGGTATGTCCTGCCAAGAAACTTAAGCAAGGTGAAAATGCGATACTGACTTGGTAGAAGATCAGCTTTAAGTGTGATGGTCAGAAAAGGCTCTCTGAGGAGGGAACATCTCACCTGACACCAGCTAGGGGAAGGTCTGAGAGGTGGAGTGTTGTAGGGAGAGGGAAGAGCAAGCACAAGGCCACAGGCAGAGCCAAGCCTGGAGGTTGTTGTAAGGATCACACAAATAAGGCTGGAAAGAGAGAAAGCTCAACAAGTACATGGAGTTTGGACTACACCCGGCTTTATTTCATGTTTATTGTGACTCATTTGCTTTGTTTTGAATAATTGTTAAGCAATAACAAGATAGTTTATTTATAAACAAATTATACCCTTCAAAATCTTAATTTTTCTACTCTGTAGACCAATAAAATAATTATTACATTCAAATGGTAATATTAATTTCTTCTCTATTTAAGTTGTATCATGGGTTCTCAAATTATATCAATGAAGCATCCGTGTTTTGAATTCTTATATTATACTTAGACATAAACAGGTTTTTTTTTTTCCAGAATTGAGGTATCTGTCTATAAAGTTTTTCTCCCCCTATCTATTCTTTTATATCTCTGAGTGGGAATGCCAAATAAGGTTGGTGATTATTTTCCTGAGGCAGTGAATCTAGGATTTATTTAATTGTTTGCATAATCAGTTGAATATGGTTTGAACCGTCCTGTTTTCCAGGGGCCTTATTCTGTTAAATATATGCGCTTTCTCAAATTCTTTTTTTATTTGCTGCTCTGTTTGTAACCTCTAAAGCCTCCTTATTATCTCTCACCAGTATTTGCCCCTCATACTGATTTAAGACTACCTGTAGGTTTAATTAACTTGCTGTTTACTTCTCTGGTCTGGACCATTAATGAAGATGTTAAGTGAGACCTGGCAGGCCCTCCCACACTGAATATACTTTGCCATTTAAATTCTATTTTGCTTTGGGATCCTCAACTGCATTTCAACAAAGTATCTCTCCCCTGATCTGAATCTGGTTTGGAAACCAGATTGTATGAATCCTTAGTTTCTATTTTCCAAAAAAAAAAAAAAAAAAAAAAAAAAAAAGATCAGTGAAAGGAATACATTTAAAGACTTATTGTTTTCTTCAGTTCTTGCAAGGACATTTTTGCATTGCATTTTGAGGAACATTTTAGCTAACCATTTTGCAGATTTTGCCATTTTCCTCTCTTTAGAAAAGCAACCCATCAATACTATTGCTTTCAAGCTTTTGAGTGATGTTTTGATAATTTGATTTCTTGAGACACTTAAGTGATCATTTTAGGAGAAAAATTTTGTTGACTGATCTCAGGTTCTATAAATCACTTGTATTTATTACCATTGTTTTACTAAATGTTATGATTTGAAGCTTTTTTGTTTTTAAGGTCTTCATTTGGACACTTGTTTAATATATTTAAAATAAGAACAATGTTTTGCGGCTTCACTGCTGATTATTTGCAGTTTGTAAGTGTAGCAGGGAAGTACATCAGGACTCTGGCTGTCCCTGTTCCATCTCAGGCCCCAGTTACTTCCACTGCAACATATGATACTAGCTCAAACAAACAGACTTGCAAAAGAGGTGTCTAGGAACTCAGACATGCCACCCGGACATGACCACCATCCTTCCTATCAAAGTGACTGCAGAACCTGAAGGAGGAACTGGGCATAGAGGGTAAGAGTTTATGGAGGGGTTTGCAGGGTCTTGTGAAAGGGTGAGGAGTAGGTCTCTCCCCTCAAGTCAACAGAGATAGTCTTCAGAGAATTATTGACCCACATCCCCTCCTATCTCCTAAGCACAGTGTATGCTGGTGCGACTATTCCTGGGGAGGAAGAAATGAGAGAACATGGAAGGCTAAGATTTGGGAGCAAGGAGAGGGACTGCTTTGAGAATGGCCTATGCTCCCAGATTCTACTGAAGGAAAAGATGTGTAAGTGTACCCCATAGGCTTTGTGGGAGAAACTTTCCCAAAGGAAGCCTCTTGGAAGACAAGACAGACACAGGAAAAAGAGACTGAAGATGCACTGGGAGATGAAGACTAAGGGGCATGCCTAGTAGCAGCCAATGGAGACATTTACCTCCCCGAGGGGTCTGGTTATCCTCAGAATGGCAGCAGGTGTGGGAGGAAATCCTTGAGCAGTCAGGCATCAAACATCTTTCATGACCAAAGGACTCCAAGGCCAGGTTATATCAGTGCTAGTCCAATAAGCTCTTTTGTACCCTATACCTTTTGCCCCTTCTTGGCTTTTCTGCTACAAATTTGGAAAGGTCAGAAATCAAGGCAGAGGAGCTAGGAGTGAGGAGAAATACAAAGCAGTAAACAGAAATGTAGGGCACCATAGCTCTTCCCCACAAACATGGAGTTTGGGCTCAAAGCAGGGCTGACAGGGAGGACAAAGGTAACGATTAAATGAACTTTAAATGAATTAGTTTTAACTAGTGTCTTAGACTGGCCATTTTAGTTATGGAAGAAGAGCATTTTTGTTAACTAAGAGTCACTTAAGGACTTTCATTGTCTGAGAAAAGTTGTGGGGTCTGGGTAGGTAATCCTTAAGGGGAGAGAAATGCCATCCACATAAGAATGGATGGGAATAGAGATGGAGGTCAAGAATAGTATTCTTCCACCTTTACCTGGTGTAGTTCTAGTCTTTCACCCTAACATTTACTTTTTTGCTTTTGGAGATCACGGACACTATAAGTGATGAGACTTGCTCTCGGCAAAACAGCTTGGAATCTCCTTGGAGTTGGCGTTCTCAGGCTTTATTTGGTGTCTACTTTTTGTCTCTTTTGCTGTGGAAATGAAACCCAAATCTGGTTGTGGAGAAGTTCAGTAGGAAATGTAAATATCAAGAGAAAGTAACAGGATGATAAAGGATCTGAGATCCTTGCCATCTGAAAAACAGATATAGCGGGCAAGGCATGCATTTAGCCTGTAAAAAATGAAAGATGTAAAGGGAATTTGGTATGTGTCTTCATATGTCATGGCTGAAGGACTCTAATTCTGTATGTCTTCACAGAATCAAACTAGGGGCATTTTAGGGGGAGAGATTATATGCTAATGTAAATTACAATTTTGAAATATTCAGAACTGTTTTTAAATACTGAAACTAGACGTTCCTATAAGAATGAGCTACTATCTTTAGATACTTATAAGCAGATACTAACTAGCTATATCCAAAGGGTGGTGGAGAGGACCCCTGCATCGGGAAGAATCTTGAATTTCATACCAGGGGCTTCCTTTCCAATGCTGAGATTTTAGGTGTTGATAAGGTGAATGGAAGAGGCACTGGCTGGGAACCTCAAACTATCATTGCTCTGCAGTTAACCCTATAATTTGCAGGTTAGGAATCTGTGCTTAAAGAAATAGTACTGGCAGCAACATGTGTGTTCACTCAAGACCAATATGGCTACTGCCCTAATCACAGTTGTACAGCCAGATTTTTTTTTCTGGTTGTGGTAGCAAGTGGAAACAAAACATAAATTGAATATAATGTCAATTACAAAAATAGAAGGTGGAAGCAACATCAAATTTTGATTGGTGCAACCAAAACTATCTGTGTATGTATAATGTGTAAAGTTTTAGGTCATTGTCATGATAGGTTTCACTTTAAAGACTTCCCCCCCCCCCCCACAAAGTTGTAAGCATATCTGAAATCAGAATAACTAAAGGTTCTGAAATGAATTTTCTACATAAAGCAATTAATATTTCATTACCATAAAAGACAAAAATAAATCACAAATGCTTACCTCCTCAGTTAATGCTCCACCAACATACATCCTGAGGGCAGTCATGTTTGAAATCATAGTTGAATTTTTCATGTCTCTTTAGGGAATTAGTCCTCAAATTGAGACTCTAATAATCTTCTGAAGGCTGTGCCTTCCCTCTGGAAGCATAAATAGGACTTACAGGATTCATTCATTCATCCATAAGTACTTTCAAACATGCAAACATACTGTTATTTTAATATATTTTAAAAAACCAAAACACTCTGTGTCTCACATTCCTATCTTGCTACCCACCCTTCATTTGTCTGCTTTATGGAAGAACTTTCTAAGAACAGTCTATAATCATGTTATACCATCTTCTCCTACCATTCTTTCTTGAACTCACTACTGGAGTGATCTCAAGTTTTCTTATAGTTTTAAATGCTAATCAGAGCTAATTTATATTACCATCTCAGATCTCTCTCTTGCCAAAGTCAGGATCAGTAATGGTTCCTGGGTGGTAGGCCTTGACATGAACCTTCAAGTTGAGATTAATAATTTAGGCAATCTAGGGGCGCCTGGGTGGCGCAGTCGGTTAAGCGTCCGACTTCAGCCAGGTCACGATCTCGCGGTGCGTGTGTTCGAGCCCCGCATCGGGCTCTGGGCTGATGGCTCGGAGCCTGGAGCCTGTTTCCGATTCTGTGTCTCCCTCTCTCTCTGCCCCTCCCCCGTTCATGCTCTGTCTCTCTCTGTCCCAAAAATAAATTAAAAAAACGTTGAAAAAAAAATTAAAAAAAAAAATAAATAATTTAGGCAATCTAGAAGTGGGCTGGTTCAAGGCTGGAGTTGAAGTCCCCAGGTCAGATACATGGTTTCATAAGCCTAAACACTAAACTAAAAGAGTAAACAGGAGTCACTTTATGAAATTAGGGTCAGGAACACAGAAGCCAATAAAAGAGTTGTCAGAATCAAAGTGAGATAACTGAGTTCTGTGAGAAGAAACACTAGCGGGTAACTAAGGGGAATATTTAAGACCTTATTTATCCATAACTTATAATCTTCATGTCTGTGTTCAGTTCTGAAAATTTCTTCTTCTCTATCAATTTTTTTCCCTTGGAGAGGACTAAATGACCTACACTCTGAAGGAAAAAAAATAGATTTCTATACAATGTATTTTAATACATGTTAAATGATATGAATAATATTTCCCCCACTGACAGTTTCTAATCCTGCTTTACTGTAGTTAGAGGGCTATAAATACATTGAGTTTTAATGAATCTTTGAAATAAATTATTGATGATCATGAATTTTCTCACATGAAAGCCAACTAGAGCTATTCCCCTGCAGTTTTATGAAAGTAAATTGTGTCTGTATATTATAAGTCTATTAGGAGAATCATGATTTCCTGCTGTTGAGAGCTGTGGGTGGAATGATTTAGCAACATGGTGGTCAGTTTTCAGTAACCCTTAGGTTATTAGACACCAATAAGACACCTTTTCTTTTCCATGACACACCAGGGATCTAGTGAAATGGGAGCAGAGCACAAGAAACAAATAACTACATGCAAGTAGATAGTGAGCCATGTAACCATTTTGCATTTCCTTAGCAATTGACATTGAAGTTGTGATAAGACAGCCTTGACTGCATGCATTCCCTGGGTGTATTCAACATTTATCTGGCACTGAGCACTAATGTAAGTGCAGATAGGGATCTCATTAGAGGTGTGGAAATAATACATACGGGATGTCTGAAGGAAGGAATACCTTGGTTGGCAAGATACCTCCAACAGGCCATAATTTGTATAAGCAGCCCTAACTAAAGTTCTTAATAATCCACAACCACCACAAATGCATAGAGGAGCAGAATTCCTGAAATAGATTCTGATACTTTGCTTTTGAAAAAGAGAGCCACATATATTTTGATATTTTTGGTTGTGAGCATAATTCATCTTTGCTTTGCCCACCAAGTGTTCAATTACCTAACAGGCAAATGCTCAGGGTCCTAGGATGTGAGGGACACCAAAATACTCTAAACAACTCAGCTTGGAAAAAACAAAACAAACAAACAAACCAAAAAACACTTAACTTGAACTTTTCAACCAAAGGAACCTGGGGGAAAAATACCAAAAACACTTTAATTTCAGCACATGCATGAAATTAAGGGTTTTCTGGCTTAGGTTTGTTTTTTTGTTTTTGTTTTTGTTTTTAATTACAAATTGAGGAGCAAGTACCATAATCTTTTCAGGTTTGAGGGCCTTTCAGAGGTCTTCATGTGACCGTGTTCTTCACTGAAATGGAAGTAAAGTCCCCTCTGAAAGTGCACAAATGACCCATGCTGTGTGCTGGTCCAGCAGTGTCTTTGTGACCCAGAGGTAATTAGTCTGAGCCCAAAAGGAGGACTGGATTACTCTTATCTTCATGTGAGCTTGCAGCACGACAAATGTTATTAATGGTCATAAAATTATCTGATCTTTTTTTAACACCAGCCTTCGCATTTGTCTCTCTGACCTCATGTGGCAGTTATTCCCACAGGCTGACCGATGTGCTGGGCGAAGATGAATTTCTTTTTATTGGTTTGAAATTTATTGTCTGTTAATTTCATTGATCAAAGGGAATAAAAGATCAAAGAAAGGATAGCCCATTACATGAAGATACAAATCATTATTACTTTCTTTAATATTTTTGACATTAACATTAATCACTATGAATTATGGTGGTGTTCCTTTGGATGTAATATGCAACTTCAAACACATTTTAGTTTAATACCACATTATTGCTCACCATGTTACTTAAGCAAGTTTTCTTTCAGCACAGTTTTTTTTTCCCTCATTTGCAACCAAATGGGGGGAAAAGCATCGTGTTTGTATCTCTAGAGGCTGTGATCACACATCTGTGTACCTGTATCTGCTTTTGCAGCAAAATACTTAATATTTAATAGATGTGACGGAGCTATGTTCTTTCCTCAGTAAACTGTACTGACTTGAAAGGCATATAAATATTCAGGATCTGTGGAATCAAAGACAATTTTGATATTTTGGGGGGAAACTTAGAGCTGCAAATGATAATAGGATTGTGTATTTGATTTGAAAATATGAGGAAAAAGAGAGAAAGAAGCCTTTGATGCATCTATTAAGACCTACATTTCCTGGCCAAATGACTGTTTTCCAGGACATTTTTATGGGGATTTTTTGGAGCTAAGTATGAAAAGATTCAGTTATATGCGTACTTTTGAGAAGATGATTGGAAGTAATTTGTTATGTCTTTTTAGTCAACACATATCTTTGGTTATTTACAACAAGCAGTTTTGGTTTTGTTTTGTTTTGTTTTGTTTTTCTAATATCAGTTCAGTCCTTTTCTTTGAATGTTGGCCCTATGTGGTTGGTTATGACCTCATATAACAAAACAGATACTTGAGAGCTATAGAAATTTTAGAAAGTATCCTGTTCACCTCACTTTACAGGTGGAGTGCTTAAACAAAGCAGTTTAAGCTTTGTTTGTTGTGTTGTCCAAGGACTTACACTTACTTATCCACTCACACCATAGGCTCTGGAGCTATACGTTTTGGACTTCCAATTTACTGATTTCCAAAGTAAATCTCATTTGTTCAATGGCCAAATTGCTTCTAAGGCATATTGATTCTTTTTAAAACAATTGGGGTTGCCTGTTTATTTGTTTCAGTTTGAGACTGAAGGTCTTAGGCCATCACATGTCAAGTCGAGTTCCATAGTCATTTACTAAGCATCTAGTGTGTGGTAGGCCTTGTGCTAGGCACTGGAAATACCAAAATTATTGAAAAGGTAGCTTCAGATCTTAAAGTCCAGTGAAGTAGACAGACTCTGGTAAAAATAAAATTAGCAACATAAAGTGTCAGTGATAGATGTTTTTTGCCATTTGTGCCTGCATTCAAGGGAAGGGGTGCTTTCCTCTAGGAAAGATCACAGACTGTTTCAAGAAGGTAATTCTTGTCTATTTGAAATAGTGAAGAAAAAATACGTGTTTTTCTGGCAAAAATAAGGTCATTCAAGGTGGACAAAGAAAAAACTGAGTGTGCAAATATCCAGGGATGTGAAAAATTACAGCATACTCAAAACACTCAGTTGTGCAAAAGATATGGGAGGAGTGGTGCTTGTGATAGGAGATGAGGCTGATGAGGGAGCCAGCAGCCATATCCTACAAAGGTGCAAATCCTATGCAGATACAAAGCATTATCTGATTTGTGTTTTAGAATACTGTTCTAAGGACAGTGAGGAGGACTGGCTAAACGGGGCAAGGCAGGAGTGGGACTGGAGTTCAAGGAGGCAGGCCATCTCTTTGGCTCAGGCAAGAGTGACCAAGGCCTGAATAACAACAAAGTGAGATGGTTTATGAGAGAGAATTTGGTAGACCGAGGAACTATTTTGAAGGGGGAAAAAAGGTGTCATGAAAATTAAAGTGTCAAATACGTTATCCATGATTTTGGCTTCTTTGAATGGAATAAAGATGAAAAGTGTAACTGTAGGGCGAGGAAGTGAGGTAAGGACCCAGTGTGCTCAGTTTTGAGTATGTTGACTTTAAGGCTACTGCATGCATTTGGGAAGTCATTGTGGCTAACACCCAATGGGATTCACAGCTCTGGTTTTCAGATGAGAAATACCAGTTGGTGGGATAGGTGAAGAAGTCAGGTGAAGGAATGTTGTGTAAGTCTGTGAGAGCTTGTGAGCATCCAGACACTGCTAGGAAAGTAGCAGAAAAGAAGGAACTTGGAATGCCACCACCATTTCTAAGAAATTTAAAGGAAGAACCACTGGTGGAAAAGCCTTCTCAGGAATGGAGAGCCAGCAGGCTGACAGTTCAGAAGAGAAGGTCATTAATGTTTCAAGGAGCAGTCATTAGACTCAGAAGCCTCAGGTCATGGTGAGGTATCCATTTGTCTTGTCTATGGGTAGAGTATCAGTGCCTTCAGCAGAAGCAGTTCCTGGCGTGGTGCAGCCGAGATCTATACCAGAGGAAGGGAGGAGAAGGGCAGAACAAGCTCAGACAATTATTCCATCACAAAATGGCGATGTTCAGAGAAAATGCAGGGGTCAAGGAATGAGGTTGTGGTCAAGAGACAGATTTGAGTAGTTTTAGAGGCTGACGGGGAAGAAGATAAAAGGATGGGGGAGACTCAACTTATAGGTGATGGGACAGGTTACAGGAGAATATTCTTGGATGCCATGTGTTCAGTGGCACAGGTGGAAAGCTGCCTTGGATAAGGAAAAGCAGAGACACACTTTCAGACCCCAGAGACAGAGTGTGGATACAGACTTGCTGGATGGGAAAGAAGTGACATGGGGGAAGCCTCCAAAACTGCATTATTCTGAATATAAATCCTGACTTGCCTTGTCAGGTGTGTCCTTGGGCAAGTTTTATTATCTCTCTGATCTTCAGTTTTCTCATCTGTAAAATTGCGGCATTAATTATCTAGACCTTATTGAGTTATATGAATTAAATGAGATAATGCCTATAAATTTTCAGCTCAGTACCTAACACATTATAAGTGCTTCAAAGTGGTGGCTATCATTAAGGCTGGCTTTTATTCCTACACTCTGTCTGATTTTTAAAATCCTCCTGCAGGTGCAACTTCTCTCCATTCCCTTGTTCCATCCTCCAACTTGTGGCCCGATGCTAGCACTTGCTTTAGCTGATCCTTTGGTGGCTGTTTAGAGTTGAACATCAATTTATTATGAATGGCATCTTGCTCTTCTATACCTAAGTTTGTACCTGGTTCAAAGGGAAAGCACAGCTAGTCTATCATTATCAAGCTGTCACTTCTTATCCACTTCATTCATTCAACTCATTTGCATTAAACCACTCTAAGCCAGGTGAAGATATATTGCAGTGCTAAGACAGACCTGCGCATCCATGGGGAACATACAGAATGCCGCATCAGCAGGAAAACCAATGGGACATAAGGAGGCCAGTCTGTACTTTCTGAGACTGATGGTTGCTTGGTTTTTCACTTGTGCCTGAGGAGAATTAGTGATGGGCATGAGAGCAGGGAATGAGTGGAAGAAGTAAAACATACTCATCTTCTTCAATTAGCTTCTTCTAAAGTGAAAGATCAATTGTCTTCAACATGATGCTCACCTACCTTTCTTAGTCCCAGTCTCAAAATTTAACAAAGTTCCTTGGAACATATCAGTATAGCCTTTCAAAGTCTTGTGCATGAGCACACAGAGAAAAATGGTAACAAATACAGAACTCACTAGAAATAAGGCAAGGCAGTCACCTTCCAAATCATCATCACTTGGAAAATACCCATGTGTGGACTCCTGTCACCTCTCCTCTTGCCCGTTCTCTCACACACAAACACTCCAAGAGGCATAATGAGATTTTTTTTTCTCAAATATTTCGTTTATTTCCGTGGTAAAAAAAAAAAAATCTTGTGATTTATTAGTCCATTTAAAACCCATTAAAGATCTACTTGCTTTGATTAAATGGCACCATTTTAAAGGTTAATCAGTGTCATTTTTTATATTTAAAACTTAAAGGTACAGTGCTTCTTACTTACTGAAAATAACTACCAAAAATGGAATGAGAGCAGTCTTTGCAATGCATACTTACTTAAAGTGTGGAATAAATACAGTGTGAATCATTTCTTGGTCAGATCCTATGGGTCAGTATGCTACTAATAATATACATTTTTCTCACTTCTAGCAACTACAAGGTCAGTCCAAGTGTCCTTGTTTATAGTTTCTCCATGCATCTCTATACCAAGCGGTCTGAAAAATACCCCCTCTGTCTGCCCTTTGATTTCTAACAAACTGTGTTGGTAGACCTCTTGCCACCAAAGCAGAAAACTGTGTTCTAGACAAATGGAGAAATACTCTGTTTTTCTTTATGAATGCTATATTCTGATTTGATTTACTCTCTTTTGTATTCTTAATTTATATGTTTAATATCAGCCTGTTCTTTTTGTAAGTAATATTGGGACATCATAGATGAGACTACAGTCATTTTTGACCTTCATCCCCCATCCGAGTCTTCTGTCAGCTTCTCTACTTAGTTTGGTATATATGTAATCATTTTGGTTCTTAGCATAAAAACATCCTTCTGCAGGTAACCATTCATACTTTGCATTTTTTAACCTCTGATGTATCCTAGAGAAGGTGTATTTTGCATTCTTAGTTTATAAGGTGAAACTTACAAAGAAGTGTCCAAATTAGTTTGGGAACTATTGAAAAGAAGAAACTTTTCATAGGCAAATCAATTATTAGTCCGTATTAGTCCTGCAACTATTTAAATGGATTTCTTGGTTTTATTAGATGGTAAGAGAAAGGTTAGTTTCTATTTTCTCTTGAGATCCTGACCATCACCTATCCTGAGATTCTCTGTTGAACAGGACTTTTCCCCATTTGTCTGTATAGAGTGTGATTTCCTTCCTTGTGATTTCTCATCATAGTAAGAACTAGTTGTAAGAACTTTAGTTGTAAGAACTAATTGTGGGGTGATGTTCCTTACCTGGTTGCCTGGAGTTTACTTTCCAATGAGCTACTGTATCAGGCAACAAGCATCCTTTTAATATGATGCACACACACTAATGTTGGATAACTCATGTGTGTTTCATCCCTGGAGAGAGAAAGAAGAAAGACACTATAGCAAAACCTGTATACAGTTTGCTCCTTTTGTGTAGAACCTATTGAAGAAGCAATACCACTTGGATGGTGCTATGCTCTGTGGCTTTGCCACAGATAGAAGAATTCAATAAGAAAAAAATTTTTAAAAATCTAGATGAATTTAATCTGTAATCATGAATAATTATTTGACTATAATTCCCTTGTTTACCAAGTAATTATGGTTTTAAAATCTGTTTGGGTTAGCATTTAGCTTTTCTCCATCCAAGGGAATCATAACATTGATGGAATATCTATCAGCCCATTCTTATGAGCTAAAGTAATTAAAAAATTCTTTATTATTCTCTGTATGATAGTAACCTATAATAAATTTGGAATGAGTTGTTCAAATATTGACTATCAAAGCAGTGTCCTTCTGCTTCTATGAATAAAGGGGGGAGTGAATTTGAAGGGTTTTTTTAAAGCTTTAATGAAACCCAGGACTTTAGAGTTACCATACATTGGAAAAGAAACATCTAAGAGGCTTATGCACAGTGCACATATACAGGACCAACCACAAAATTATATACAAATGTGATACCAGTATTAATCAGACCACAGAAATGAACTTAGGATTCAAACTGCAGAAGCATGAAATTTTAGGAGGGTTCTATTGTAAGTTAAGATTCAGTGCTATTTTCTTTTGATTAAGTTTAAACCAGGAAATCGACCCTTTTGAAAGTGTGCCACATGTCATTACTATATATATGCAAGCAACCATTATAACATGGTGCTGCTGAACAAAAATTGCCATTTGTGGTACTTTTTATCTTGAATTACTTTCTAAATTAGGACAAGGAACTATAAGCAATTAAAAAAACAATCCTTCCAAGAAAATGAGTGCATTGGACCAGAAGATGTCTGAGGTCTTAGTGCTATCATTGTATAATAATTCTAAGACACCTGTTATTCCAGTAAAGATGCTTGGATTTGTTTTCCTTTTAAAATGTTATTTGTGGCTATTTAAAATTTGCAAGTGAAGATGGTGGAGCAGAGATAGGGGTTCTCAGCAGGTACTGGGAGAACAGTGTACTTTTTTTTTTAAGAACCACAATGTTGAAACTACGTAATTACATAGTAACTGTTGACCTTGTAATTACACTGTAAGTACCTGTAGTGACAAGATAAATGCATGGTTATTTCAGTCTTTTAAGCTATAGGGCTATCATGCGACCCTAACAATGTAAGCTACATAGTAATTTATTTGTAGAGTAAATAGTGCTTACCCACAAGTAATACCCACACATGTACAGTGCTTGCTATACAGATCCAGAAAAATGTGGCAAATCAGTGCCCTCTAGGCACTTTTATTAAAATGACATATAAACCACATACATGTATATTTCTAACATTAAGTTATTTGTGGAACATTTGGGGGATTTCATTGCTGCTTTTTGTCCTAAAATTCCCTATTCGCTACAGAAATAGAGGTATAGGTGAGCTGCTTTTAATGATAATTATTTTGTTGTTGTTGTTACAATAGTATGTAACCATATGGTTTGTTAACTGGGAGTCCTCTTGTCCTTACAAGTTTCCTTCATTTAAATAAAGTTGCTTTGGCAAGACATGTACATATATCAAACAACATTTATTTTAATAAGTTTTAAGTGATAATCTATATGGAATGGCTGTAGAAAAGAAATAATAGTTGTGAAGAATTTTCTAAACCATAGATGTTGGCTACTAACACTTATTGAATGTTTATTAAGCCCTCAGACATGATAATTACCCCAAATATTTTCATGTTCACACAAATTCAGATTTCAACAGACTGAATTTGTGACAATTTGATTTTAACCAAGAAGTGAGATGAGTTGTTTTTCAGTCATTTATTCATTCACAGTATTTTTTCAGTCTCTCTGTGAGCCAGATACTGTACTCAGTAGTCGTTAGCAACTATTAGTTTTTATAATGAGAGAGAAGAGTGACAAGTTACTTCAGTCTGCGGTGTAAAAATAATAGCATAGGATGAAATGGGAGTGAATTAAAGTTATATAGTCATGAGAGGAAAGGTGAGGTTGTGATGGAGGAGGAGAATGTTTAGTCTGAGGGGTTATCAAGGTACCAATACCCAGAGACAAAAGTGAAATGGCATGGGAAATTTGAAGCCTCTGTGTCTGGGACTTGGGTTTTGAGGGTGTCAGCTTGTGGAGAGAAGACTCCAGAGACAGACACCATGCCTTGAACAACTTTCTGGTAGGCAGTTTTGATTTCATCTTGTGGTCATTGAAAAATCATTAGAGAATCTAGTCTTCTAGAAGGAGAAGTGGACAATGTGGACAATGCATGAGAATAAGACAATACATCCTTTTGGAAGACGTATTATTAAGGTCACTGCAGGAATCCTGGGGAAAGGTGATGTTGCCCAGAATTTGGCACTTAGGATATTGGTGGCTTCTCTTATATTCTGTCCATGTAGTTCTTTATTCTGAAGTGTTTTGAGTCACTGCCTGTAGTGAATATTCTACATTTGTCTAGGTGCAGTGTAAATGCAAGAAAGGATATAGACCAGTGGCCCTGGAATAACCAGTCTGGAACTGTTAATTGGCCAGGGTTTAGCAAAGATGCTTATAATTGGACCCTGAATGTAATGTATCCTACAGGAATGTTCATAAGTTCTGTAGGTGGAATTTGTCAGCCTGAAGGTGGTTTCAGCTCATGAGACATACTTCAATCTTTCCTTGTCTAAAACATTGAATCATTCAATAAATAAGTCACTGGCACTTTTTCCCCTGTGGCCTCAGTGTTGATCCATTTCCTCTAACCAACCAGAGTTTTCACATGGCATATTTGTTCTTTTGTTGACAAAGGTTTGCAAGTGAACCCCCCTTGGAGAGACTGTATATGTGAACCACTCTGAAGGGCTTATGGGAAGCTATATTGGGACTGTTTTCTTTAGCAACATCAGTGTATGATTGGGAGAAAAAGGGGAAAAAAAATAAAAAAGCAAAAGGCACACTTTTGTTTGGATTCAAATGTCATCTTTGCCTGTGCCACATTTATTTTTATTTTCTCTCTGACAAGGAATGCTAACTTTCCAGGAAAACTCAACTTCTCTAAAACAACAGCCAACACAAACAATTTTTTTAAGGTGTGATTTTCCTTGAGGCTGTGATTTTATCATTTGAAGTGAATGGTGGGTTGAAAAAAAAAAAAGTCTTGGGAGTACACATTTCCTTTACTAAGACATCAGCTTGAATCATGCTTTGGATATTGTGGCTATAGTTTTCCAGGCCTTTGATTCTCAGGAGACCCTGATGTGAGACAAAATGGAAAACTCAATCCACATTCTCTTTGGATCAAATCTCTAGGGGACCTAGGGAAGGTGAGAGAATTTCTGCTTACTGATGACATATTCTAGACAGATATTGTCCCTGAACATATTTGCATTGGCACCTTTTTATACTGGGGCAATGTGGATTTTATGAAATGAAAGCAGTTTTCCCTTTTCTAAAAGGGAGAGAGATCTCTTTCGGGTAGGACATTCTCAAATCAATTATTTTTTAACTCAATGTAGTCAGCTGTACCCTACATGTAGTGGGATTCCCTGATTTTTGTTCATGTCCCTTCCATATTGTAGATAAAAATATTTTTATTTTTTTCACTTCATTTTAAGCATAAATAAATTACTCTATTCTCTCTGTGTGTTAATAGAAATCTTATTCTCTTTGGAGCATTTCGTTTGTGGTTTGAGCTTGAATGGATATCTTCTGCTTATAATATTTGCATTTTTTCTTATAATTTGCACATAAACAATTGACAGGTAAAGCCATTTATGTTCTCCATATATTATGACAAAAGATAAAACTCATTTATAGGTGATGTTTGCATTTTAACCCACTCTTACCGTTTCTTTCATAATCATAAAATGCATCAATGATGGTTATTTAGAAAATCAGTAGAGTATGAGAGATGGAGAATACCCCAAGAATAGAATTACAGTAACATTTATGATCATGTGACACCTTGAATTTCACCCAATACTTCAGTTTTACTTACTCCCTGAACTTTCACTATTAATGATATTCAGGCTGAAAAAAAAAAAAAGGTTGAAATGCCAACATCATATTGGAAGACAAATTTACATTTCATTCCCAACACTGTAATTTAATAAAAGTTTTATGGTGTTTTGGGTACTTAATTATGCTCAAAGCAGGGCTGGAATTTAACAATGCTCCACATACAGAGGAGTCGGTGGTGCTTTATTTGAAAAAGTTCCTTTGAAAGAGCATTGTACTATACGATATACCACATATGCTGCATTTAAAAGACACTTTGGGAAATGATGAATTGCTTAAATTGTAGCTCATTTCGGTTACAGAAAATAAATCCTCATAATTCACTTAAGGTGATTTAAAATACTAGGTTACTAGATTATCAGGCTTTGAAATATTCATTCCTCTCAGAATCACAGCTACGTTAATGTTACTGTGTATGTAATGTATACATTTTAAGTCCAGACATGAGTTTTTTGACTTTTTTTCTAAGTAAGCATTATTAATTCTCCAGGGCACCCTTGGAGATAGTTTTTATCACCCCCTTCCCTCTTCTCTTATCTCATCAGAATCCTGTTGATTAGATCTTTTTAAAGCTCATTGAGAATCATGTTATCCTCCTCTGTTTAAAATTGTTCAAAACCTCCTTTCCCAGTGTTGACTGAATCTAGTCTAAACTGTCATTTACAATTCTGCAGTCTGGCTTCTACCTACTTTCATTTGCATACCTTACATCCCAGCCAAACTCCAGTCCTTCGAACAGGACCCTTTCTCACTCCCTTTGCTTCATGCTGTTCCCTCTGGTAGAATTCTCCCTCTCCTCCCATTTCCACCTGGTGATTTTTTCATCTTTCAAGACTTGGTCCATATGCTACCTCTTTCCCAGACAGTTTTTTTTTTTTCCAGCGTTGGCTTCCTTTTCCATATACTTTATTTTCCTTTACATTTAGACTTACAAGAT